TTGTATGGTATGAATCAGCATGAATCCAATGCCCAAATATAGAAACTGATCCAATGCTCATATTCCCACTTTTCTATTATCTTCACCAGCTGTCCCCATGGCACTCTATCTCTGACTTAACCATGTGGAGTTAGGTCAGCACTCACAAATTAAAAGGACATCATCCTTTAGACTGCCAAACAGGCACATGTTGAAAGTTTGGGGAGTCGACACAGCATCTCGATTTTCTGATGTGCCGGCTACAAATACAGGACTAGTTTGCCCACTATCCCTTTAGGATGCCAGGTGAAAGCTCGAGAGTCCTCACAGTCCTTACTTTCTGACTTGTTGGTTCTGAGTATCCTTTTGGGTTCAATAATTTACTGGAAAACAGAACGCATAAAGGGTATACCACACTTAAGAGTATAGAGTGATTATAGTAAAAAATAAAAAATACAAAGAGATGCACAGGGCAAAGCCTGGAAGGTTTCCCAAAGTGGAACTCCCATGTAACAAGGGATGCAAGAGCAATGGTTGTCAACCAGGAAACTCCCTAAGCCTTAGTGTTAATGACTTTCATTGGGTAGTCTTGTATGATAATCTAAATCATGCCTCTTTCATGACTGGTTGACACTGATCTCCTAGGTGAGTCTTTTCTGGTCTTACCAGCCCCCATTAACCAGCAAAAAAAACTCCTACAAATGCAGGACCCAAATACCCCAATTACTCCAGAGATTATTTCTCTGGAGTTAAGGACAAAGGCCACCTTGCTCAGGGTTAACACTAGGCCCTTAAGCCCACACCTAGAAGCAAAATACTCAAACTTCTGAAAAATGGAAACAAGAAAAAAAAAAAGAAAAGAAAAGTTAAAGCAATCAGAACAAAATGATCTGTTGCTTATAACTTTTAAAGTAAAAATTATTCAAATGGCTATGGATTTCTCATCAGAAACCAAAGGATCCTAGATGGAAGAGAAACATTTTTAAAGTTCAGAAAGAAAAGGGTATCAACCTAAATGTACAACCCATAGAACATCAATTAACCAGACTTCATAAAAATTAAAAAATTTTTGTTCTGCTAACAACTGTTAAAAGGATGAAAAGACAAGTCACAGACTGTGAGGCAATATTTGTGATGGATCGCTTTTATATGGCTTTAAGGAACTCTGGTGGTATAGTGGTTAAAACATTTGGCTGCTAACTAAAAAGTCAGTACTTTGCATCCACCAGCCACTCCATGAGAGAAAGATGAAGCGGTCTGTTTCTGTGAAGAATTTTATAGCCTTGGAAACTCGATAGGCCAGTACTACTCTGTCCTATAGGGTTGCTATGAGTCTCAACTGACTTGATGGCAGTGGTTAGCCATGGTTTTGTAGCTCCCACCAAAAGACTGGGTGGGACTATGAAAATGAGGTGCTTGTGGTCCACACATAGGCAAATGGATAGCTTGCTAATCATGTAAATAAGGTGCATGGAACCCTGCAGGGCTGACACATGCCACATAATCCAACCCAAAAGAGTTCTAACAGCTAAAACTGGAACAACTTGAGAAATAAGTAATGATAGTATAGGACTATGACTCAAAGAATTAAATAAATATACATGAATCCATACTGATATAAATGAATAAATGGAGAATGAGAAAAAAAATGAACAAGAACTCTTCCTTTCAGAAGAATTCCAATAAATAAATATAAAAGAATGAAAAAAATATAAAAATATCACTAGAACACCACCATAATAATTGCCAAAGGCAAGATTCACACTGATGGATGCTAAAATTAGTGGTCAAAATTTAAGCAAAAACAGGGTATTCATGTAGTCTAAAAGTATCTCCTCCAAATATTTACTATTTATAGTGAAAAAACAGGAATTTTATAGAGAAGAACCCTGGCAGACACTACTTTAGACAAATGGTCAAGATTAACATCACCAGTGCTAAAGGGGCAGGGAAGTAGCATCTTCTGACCTCCTTTAACTCCACAAAAGGAAGACAGAATCAGCACCAGCAGCCCAAAGCCTGTTCTTATGAGGTCAGACATGCTGTCACCCTCCAGCTCTCTTACCAACCTTAACACCAACTGCACCCCTGTGGCACCTATCACCTGTCTGCTGGGTTCAATAATTTGCTGCAGTGGCCACATAGAACTCACAGATTATGGAGTTTATTAGGGAAGCAACAGGCTACAATTCAAGTTCAGGACTGTGTTCAGTCTCTCTCAGCCAGCAATCTCTCTCAGCAGTGCATCTCTCTCAGCAGTGCGTTTCTCTCAGCAGTGTGTCTCTCTCAACAGTGTGTCTTTCTCAGTCAGCAATGAGAGATGCCTTTTGCCTCTGGTCTCTGCCGTCAAGGTGATTTGACTCACAGCAACCCCTCTTTAGGTTTCCAAGGCAGTATCCCTATAGAAGTAGATTGCCCAGTCTTCCTCCCGAGGAGTAGCTGGTATGTTTGAACTGCCAGCCTTCTGGTGAGCAGTCAAATGCCTTAGGAACTAGGCCACCAGAGCTCCTTCTGCCTCTAGGAGGGCTCATTTTGAGCCTGGCAGAGTGGCAAAACCAACCAATCCCAAAATCACTGTTCTACATACCTGAGAGAGAGCAAACTTCCTAGAAGATTACTTCATCCTGCTCCAACAAAAATACTCCAGGAGGATGATTGTAACAATCAGAAGTTTAAATTGCATGGTCCCACCCAATAATCCAGTGGGAATTAAAAGACTATGGCTAAAAAGCCATACCATGTAATGTACTACACTGTAACCAGCAACAGATACTGTATTTTCCAATATGATGATGAATAAAGAAAAGAAAGCATAAATCTCAAACTAATTTTGGGAAAATATCAAAGGATTTTCTCAAAAATAACTCATCAGTACTCCTTAAAGTGTCAAGGTCACAAAAGACAAGGAGACTGAAAAATTATCAGAATGGTGGAAACTAAGGAGACATGACAACTAAATGCAAGGTAGGATCCTATACTACATTTTGAAGTGAAAAGGTTCATTTGTGGAAAAACCAAGTGAAATCGAAGTCAGTCTGACTTTAGTTACGGTGTTTTGTTTTTTTTTTAAAATATTTACTTTTTATTTTGTTATTGTGATTTGGGTAAAAGTTTACAGAGCAAATTCATTTACCATTCAACAGTTCATACATGTTTTGTTTCATGACACTGACTGCAATCCCCATAACATAACAGCCCTCTTCTCACTTCCTCCCTGTGGTTACTTTTTCCTTGTGTCCTTTCTTCCTATGCACTCCTGTAGTTGCAGTTTTGTATCAAGGAAAGTTTCCTAGTCTTGATAAATGTTTTATAGTTATGTAAAATAGTAACATAAGGGAAAATTTTGCTGAAGGGTATATGGGAACTGTGGAGGCAATCTCTAAGATATTCCCCAATGATCTCTGTCTCCTGGTATTCACACCCATGTTTAATCTCCAGGCCTTGAGTGTGAGCTGGATATAGTGACTCATCACTATCAAAAACAATGTGGCAGAAGTGATGAGATGTCACTTCTAAGATTCATTTACAAAGACCCTGGCTTCTGTCTGGGGCATCCTCTCTTATTCTCCTACTTGCTCACTCTGAAGGAAGCTGGTTATCATATTGTAAGCTGCCTTATAGAGAGAACATGGCAAAAAACTGATGTCTCCAGCCAATAGTCATGGAGGAACTGGGGTCAGCCAACAGCCATGTGAGTGAGTGTGAAACAGATCCTCCTAGTAGAGCCTTGATGAGATCATAACTACCACCACCATCTTGTTTGCAATCTTGTGAGAAACCTTGAGCTAGAAGCACCCAGCTAAGTCACACCTGGACTTTGTGACTCAGAGAAATTTTGGGATAATAAGTGTTTATTGTTCAAAGCTAATAAATTTTGGGGTGATTTGCTACACAGCAATAGATTGGTAATATAGGAACTCTCTTTTTACAACTCCTCTGTAAGTCTAAAATTATTACAAAATAAAGTCTTAAAAATATTTTATACATATATATATCACTTGGTATAAGTAGCAATCTGTGGGTAAATGGGGATCCCACTACTTACTTCATAGATTTATCATGAAGACTAAGTGAGATAACATATATAAGTCCTTCACTGCCAAACTACCACATGTAGACATTGAATAAACACTTTTTCCCTTCTTCCTTTCCAAGCCCCTTATCTTATACTATGGTATGTTTCTAACTAGATGGCAACATTAAACACAGACATAATTCTGTTCAGCCATACTGTAAGAGACTCAATGAAAAACTGAATTAATGACAAAGTCCTAAAATAAGGCTGAATAACATAAATTTCATGTATTTAGTTTTGAATTGGGTTTCCTTTCCCTATAACATACTGTGAGGTAGAGTACTAGGACAAAATAATTTCCACTGTTACTAGGTTGAAGATTTTCAATTCCATGAAATGAAAACACTGAGAGGGAGAGGGAGAGAAAGAGAAGAAGAGAAAAAAAGAAAGAAAACAGCCTCCTAAAGCCTGGTCTTCAGCATATCTTGAACACAACAAATAAGGGATTAATAAATTGTACCATTGGGTAACATTGTTACCATTGGGTAAGGAGGTCTGGTAGTGCAGTGCCTGAGGCATTTGACTGCTAACTAGAAGACTGGCAGTTCAAACCCACCAGTCACTGCAAAAGTAAAGGGGGACAATCTACTTCCATAAAGTTTTATGGCCTCAGAAACCCAATGGTGGTTACTATGAGTAGGAATCAACTCAATGCCAGTGAGTTGGTTTTGGTTTATTGGGTAATCAAAGATTCTTCTCAAAATAACTCAGTGTTTAAAATATTTGATGGCAAGTCTTGCCAAAAGCCCTTTGAAAGTATAAATGTTACTTTCACATGTTCTCTTATGTATTTATTCATTTCCTGAAAGGTTTCTAGCAGACAAGTCAGATACAATCTCCCCTAAGAGAAATCATACAGCCTTTTCCCCAAGAAGTTACATTTGCTTAAAAATATTTTATACCCTTTAAATAACATCAGGTTGCTTCTTACTACAATGAGACTCACCGATCTGCAGATACTGAAGTCCTCTCTGGATTGAAATATCCTTCCAAATCTGAAATGCTCACTTGTGTTTGCCTTGAGGTCAGTATCTGGCAATTCTGAGGAGGTTTGGTTTTCAAATCCTGGGTAAGAGGAAAATGTACAACTTGGAAGTCTAGTGAAGATTTAGATTCTGAGGTTGGTTCCAATGATCCGAAAGATGTGGTCTGTAGTTCAGAATTAAACTCTCTATTTGTCCTAGATTTACAAACAGGAGCCAATGATTGTAATCTTTTATCTAAGGTTCCACTATCCAACTTGCAAGGAGTCTTGGGAGAAAGAGTTATACGAACACAAGAAAGTGCTTTTCTATTTGAAGGTGGAGTACAGTGATTTGGGAGTGACTGGGAGAGCATGTTACTACACTTGTCTTCAACATTTACCCTATCGAAAACGTGTGATTTAGGCATATCCTGATTATCCTTTTCTACTACACATTCCTGATCTTGAAGAAAGGGGGAATGGTCTTTTCCCACGAGGTGATCTATAAGTGGATATTTGCATTGTTCCAAGAGTTTGCGTTGTTCAAGGAAAATCTCAGAAGGAAGGTCTAAAGTTATACAATCCTGAGCTTGAGGAATGGGAGACTGGTTTTCTCTCATCTGATAATGTACATGTGAGACTTTGCTTTTATCAAAAAGCTCGCGCTGTTCAAGAAAAATGCGAGAAGGAAGATTTGGAGGTCCATAATCTTGATGCTGAGGAGGGGGAGAATGGTGTTTTCTTATGTGTTGATCTGCATGTGGGGCTTTGCTTTGTTCAAAGAGTTTGCGTTGTTCAAGAAAAATGAGTGAAGGAACATTTGGAGTTACATTCTTCTCTTTTACTTCTAGTGTGGAACTCAGTCTGCCCGTGAAATTGTTGTGATTTGCACTGGAACTGGGCTCAGAATGACTGACTTTAAAATCTGGTAAGAGTTTTTCTTCTTGGTGAGAATGCTCAAAATCGACAGGTAATTTTTGGCTTTGCCTACTGCTCTCTGCTAAAATAGGCAGATCTTTATCTGGTGAATGACTACAGATTTTAAATGATAAAGGGGAAGAAGTTTTCTGGGTTTCATCTCTAAGACAGTTTTGTTCATCAGGGAAATGAGAATTAAATTGTCCCACAGATGCTCCAGTACTACCTTCAGTAACACCAACCTTAAAAACAGAGGCATCTGAAATGCAGTTAGAATGTCGGTGAGATGAAAAAGTGATAGAAGTAGTAAAATTTTTCATGGGTTCTGGATGCAGCATTTGTGAAGAAGAATGAAAATCTGTTCCCTCAGGTAGCACACAAACAGGTTCTACAAATTCTGACAACCAAGGGTCCATCTTTTCACGAAATGGCACTCGAAGATTCTTGTTAACCTTGAAGTTATCAGCTGTAAAGTTTTGAAATGGGGAACGACTTTGTAACTGCAAGGAATTCCAGACTTTGAAACGGGGATTGTTCTGCTCTAGTGATTTAGAAAGGTTGATATGCCTGGCTCTCCAAGACAATGGGCCCTGCTGTTCTCTGATTATTTCTTCAGGTTCATCAGATCTGAAGACGCAAGGATGACTGTCCAATTGTGGTTGCTGTGTAGTTAGAGTCCTGAAACATCCTTTTTCATGGCTCTCAATAATAATGTGACTACACACAGCTTCTGGCTTGCATCCTATTCCCTGTGGACTCTGTAAACCCTAGAAGATATAAATGGGTTGTTACTTGAAGCCATTCCAAATAGTTATATAAATATCACTTTTACATCTGGGCTAAGATTTGATCATGAAGCTCAGGCTGTGCTGTTCTTTCACAAGAAAACAAGTAAAAGAAGACAGCAAGAAATACAGTTAACTACAGAATAAAAATTACTCATGATACAGTTCTCAAAATTCTCACTAAAGTAACCATATCAAAATCTGCTATTGTCCCATAATACTCATTATCCCCTTATTCCTTTTAGTTATAAAGGCTCCTCACCTAACAACTGCTGGCCACAAAATTAGAGCCATTTCCACTTTCTTTTGCAGTTGTTGTTGTTGTTATTATGTGCCATTGAGTCGGACACGACTCATAGCGACCCCTCCTTGGGTTTCTGAGGCAGTATCATTACGGAAGTAGATTGCCCCATCTTCCTTCCGAGGAGTGGCTGGTGGGTTTGAACTGCCAGCCTTCTGGTTAGCAGTCAAGTGCCTTAGGCACTATGCTACCAGAGCTCCATATGACTAGCCAATGGGTTACGAGCAAAAATAAAACTGCTTTCTGTCCTTAAAAATTGACTTCTGGGGTGGATAACCAAACTATGGTACATATACATAATGAAATGCTATGCAGCACTAAAGAATAACGTAGAGTCTGCAAAACACTGCATAATGTGTATGAACTTGGAGGACATTATGCTGAGAGAAATAAGTCAATCACAGAAGGACAAATATAATATTAGTTCATTATTGTGGAGCATCAAGGAAAGGTGTACACGGAGGAAAACTTTCTTTGTTGGTTGGCAGGAAGTGGAAAGGGAGGGAAGAGAACACTGCAGGGGGGAAAAAAAAAAGCATGGACCCATGTCACTTTAGTTTTGTGTATTTCACTGTACATAAATTGTATTTCAATAAAATACATTAAAAAAAAAGGAAAAAAGTCAACTTCTTGATCTTCATTCTCCCACACTACCATCACCATTACTCTTGCCAGCTAAAAATGGTGATGGCTAGAACAACCTTAGAGGCCATGTGCAAGGACAGCTCACCTGGCCAGCAAGCTTGAGTCCTTGGGTGACCTCAAGAACAAGAGCTCACTTTCTGATCCTGGATTATGACATGAAAAAAATAAATTCTGCCTTATTCGAGCCATAGTATTTTTGCATCTCTCTGTTACAGAAGTTTGGCCTATATGCTATATTTTACTACTAAGAATAGGAAAGAGAATTAGTAGCTCTTCCTGGGGCACAGGCTCAGTACCCATAGTTGACCACAATAAATATTAAATTTCTTTGTGGCTTTTATATTTTACCTGTAAAGTCATTATAAGTTAGCATTCTATTTGATGATATAATGCTATTTATTTTCGCATAAAAATATTTCAAATTAGGCTGACATTTTCAGGAAGATGGAATAGATGCACTTCTCCTATTCCTCCCACTAAATACAACTAAAATTCCTAGTTATCATATATAAAATAAACTTAAGAAGACTCTGAAAGGTGTAGTGAAGAAGAAGGTAGACTAGGGATCTTGGGACATGGGACATAAGAAATGACATAGTGGTGAGATCTCTGGATTCTCCTTTTGTCTCATACATCCCAAACTCGGAGCGAAAGAAACCAGAAACTTGGAAACAAAGGGCACGGACAAAATGTCCTAACAAAAACCCACTCTCCACTAGTTAAAAAAACAATTCAGGTACAGCCATGTATGAAGATCCAGATACATAACCTTTCCTGTACTTGAGAATACCTCTCATGCTTCTTTTCAGTCACTACCACACACCCATCTCCACCAGAGTTCAACACTGATTGTTGTTGTCATGTGCCATGGAGTCGGCCCCAACTCATAGTGAGCCCTCTCCATGGGTTTCTGAGGCAGTATCACTATGGAAGTAGATTGCCCAACTTTCTTTCCAAAGAGTGGCAGGTGGGTTTGAACTGCCAGCCTTCTGGTTAGCAGTCAAGTGCCTTAGGCACTGCAGTGAATTGCCTGATGTGGCCCTTCTAGCCATTGTCCTCTATTCTGTGATGTTTTGTAAATCCCATTATCCATGCCTGTTTGGGGTGGGGTGGTAGTTAAGGTCAGGTATCAACTTGGCTGGGCAGCGGGTAGTAGTCATTCCCTATAATGACTGGCAATCGACTCTGTGATGGGATTTAGGTTATTTCTGTTGGGGCAACACAGGTGGAATGTATCTTGAGTCCTGCCTTGCTGGAGGGTATAATTCAAATCACCACCCTTAGCTTCCCTGAGGGTATATCTATGAGTCCCCTGGGAAGATTCACTCTCCTCTTGCTCCAGCTTTGTGTCTTGGATCATCCTTATCTCACCCCTGGATTTGGGACAGCAGCCGTCATCTGATCTGCTGATCGAGGTTCATCAAACCCTGAGAGCTGGGAGGATCCTCCAGACCTACTCACGGACCTGGGACTTGCCAGCCTGCCAGCCTCCACCACTACTACGTGAGACGAACCCTTGGGTGTCTGTGAGTTCTGTGAGGCGTTACAGTGAAATTCAGAACCCTAAGACTGGGAAATTACTGGGAGGAGGAGGAGGAGGAGTTAATGTCTGAAATGATGGAGTGGTACAGTTTGGATATTTGGGCCATCTTTAACCTCCGCCTCATGGGGACTGGCCTCGTGCTGATCTTTCTAAGAGAAATTGTTCAAGTAATTGGTGTCAGAAGTGGGATTCGCTGCAATGGTCCAGACTCACTGGAATATGTGGTTTTGGGAGAAAGGAGATAAACGGGAAAGTAAGAAACCTTTGGCTTCTGGATGGGATAAAAGAAAACCAAGGACTGAAGCAGCTCTCTTGTTGAGATCAGTCACCCAAGGCAAAAGCTATTCATGGGATTTAGGAGAGGTGGATCTAACTCCTGAGGAATTGGTTAGTTGTATGTATATGGAAATACAGAATGATGAGGAAAAGGCTAGACTTACAATTCCTTGGTTGCTGTTATCGGCAATAGCTGCAATGGCAGGGAAAAAGAACTTAGAGCCAGGTTGTAGCATTGAATCAAGCTCAGATCCAGTCCAATTAGAGTTACGACCCCTAGTTTCAGGGCCTACCCAGAAAGGAAAAATTGTGTCAGAACAACAGGCAGTACTGGTACGACCACTGGTCACCAAAAAGGTAGTCTGGGAAGGGAACAGGCAAAGCCAAGAAACTACTGAAAGCAGAGGGTGTAGTGTGAAAGAGCTGCTTCAGTTTGTAGATCGGTATCGTCAACTTCCGGAGGAACCTTTACTAAAATGGCTTGTGAGAGTGACTAATTTAGGGGCAGCGTCTTTAGTTTCGAATACTGCCAAGTGGAAGAGTATGTTTGGATTGATGCAAGATCCACAGCTCACTATGGAACAGGCACAAATGTTGATCCAAGATCCATTTACAGGGCAGGATAACCCAGAAGGGACAGCTAGTCTGTTGGAGAGGATAAAATTTGCAGCCAGGTTTGTGTATCCTGAGAAGGGAAACTGCCCCTCTCCCCCTCTAAATGCCCCCTGGAACACCCCAGAGGAAGCAGGTGATGTGCTGCTTATGCAAGCCATGCTGGAATGGCTTTATGATGAACAGGATATTCACCCAATGACAATGCCTTTACACAGGTCATGGCAGATATGGTGATCAAGGGAGCCCCTTCTACATGAGCACCCCATGTAACTCTGCTGTTGCAAAACAAAGCAACAATTTGAGAAGCCGTGTCAGATCTATTTGCACAACTTCCCCACATGGTTTTACAAATCCAAGAAGCATAAGAGTGATTAATAGGAGAATGGAAAGGGGCAACAGGGAAAGAACTTATCTCAACAGGTCAGAGATTTTTCGATGGTTGTTAAGGAATGGGATGAATATAGCAGACATTGATGGAGTACAGACAAGGGTGCTGATGCAGCACTACAGGAGATTGGGTGGACCAATGGAAACTCCTTCTGGTCCCACCACCTTAAGGAAGCCTAGACAAGTTCGTTCTATTCACTCCACTCAGGAGGAATTTAATAATAGGAACTCCCACCTGGGACCAGTTGAAGCAGAGACTCAGCTAACTGATGAAGCCAGAGACTGACACGGGGGCCAGGGGCTTCTAGTCCATCCCCCAGCAGGGGACCTGAGGCCATATGCAAATGTATGGGTAAAATGGCCTGGGGGTGGGGAAGAGACCTTCTTGGGACTCCTGGACACCGGAGCCCAATGTACCGTCATTCCAAAGCCTGTCCATGAAATGTTGAAGGGGCCTAAGGTTAGACTAGGAGGATATGGGGATGCAACAGTTGATGGGACTAAAGTGAAAGTTTGGATGAGAACTGGAAGATTTAAACAGATGTTATATGAAATAGTTGCATCTCCTTTACCTGAATGTATTATTGATAAGGATATTATGTCTAATAGGAGAAATCTCCCTCTACCTGATATTGTAAAACTGAAGGCGTGTAAGTGTGCCCTTAGGCCAGTATTGATTGGATATGCTAAATGGGAACCATTGGAATTGCCCGAGCCCACTTAGGTTGTTAACTTGAAACAATATAGGATACCTGGTGGACAGAAGGAAATTAGTACTTTGATTAAAGACATGCTGAAGGCTGGAGTGTTGGTGCCAAAAAATTCTCTGTGTAACAGCCCTATATGGCATGTGAGAAAGGCAGATGGCTCCTGGAGACTGACAGCAGACTACCGAGGCCTAAATAAGGTAGTGCCACCGGTGGCTTCAGTTGTTCCAGACATGGTATTGGTGGTGCAGAAAATACAACAGGCCAAAGGAGACTGGTACTCAGTGATTGATCTTGCAAATGCCTTTTTCTCTATACCAATCTCGGAAAAGAGTAAGTCACAGTTTGCTTTCACATGGGAAGGCTCTCAGTACACCTTCAGAGTTTTGCCCCAGGTTTATTTGAACTCACCAGCTTACTGCCATGGTTTGGTTAGGAGACACTTGGACTTGGTACAGATTTCAAGTATGGTGATACATTACATTGATGACACATTATGTTAATATCA